TATATACAACCAGATATATTCATAAAAGATAATAAATTATAATTGTAAAAAAAATAAAATGGTAAAAAGTCATGTAAAGTGTTTTTCATGATAAAAAAATACTTGCTCATCTTACTGTATATGCTGAATTGGCCTAGAAGGAAACCACTGGCCTAACAGCACATGTCCATATCCTGTGTTGGCCTAACCTGCTCATCTGTGTGCAATTTTGGGCTGAATGCCATGCATGAAATGTGCTATATAAATTATTATCACTCTTTCACTCTGAGACTCATAAGGCAGTACTAGATTTAGTAATATTACCATGAATCTAGCCATTTATTTACCATATTTTATTGGAAAACATCTCTGAAACAGTCATATTGCTAGCTTACCATAAAAGGCCAATTCGACCGATTGGTTGAGCATATTTTCAAAAAGATAATTACACCCTTGTTAAAACTTTTTTTGTGCATCAAGTTATCTAATTATGTTCATTCAGTGCTCTGACACTAAAATATGTCAAAAATGATATGTTTACCTTTCAAAAGTTGAGCAAAAAGAGTGATTTCTTCAGCAGTGATTTTTAGCATTGCCAACTTTCTCAGTTGAAGCTAGCTGAAGGGCATTCTGTTTGAACCACAGTGACATCTAGAGGTTGTTTTGTGCATAACATGTCAACCAAAGGGTAGAGCTGACTGAATCAGATGGAGTTAAACTTTTGAATTTTTTTTTTTCAACAAGATATCAAGACGCGAAATGTGCTCTACCAAATGGTGGTGTTGGCAGTTAAAGGGTTAAATGCATTCTGTTAAGAGTGAGCGTCAGCCGCGTACCTATGAACATGCTGTACTTGTCCCTCTCGTTGGGTCTGAGGTGTCCCTGCAGCAGCGTCTCCACGCCGGCCCCCAGCTCCTGGTGCCCCCTCTGCTCCTCACTCAGCGCCTCCTTCTCCTGCCGCAGCGCCGCAACGCTGCCCCGCAGAGCCTCACACAGCTCCAACTGCTCAGCAAATCATACAGTTAATAATAGTTTTTATAGTCTTTATTATAATTGTTAAAAGCTAATATGTATAATATCAATAATAAGAATATATTTTATAATCGTAACTATAATAGTAATATTTAATAGCTAATATTTATTATAGTAATTATAACAATAATATCATATTTATAATAATAACAATAAGAAGAATATGAATAATACAAATAGTTTTTATAATCTTTATTATATTATATATGATTATGAAAGACTTTGTGAGCTATATCTATATAATTATAGATATAGCTCATATAATTATGATAATTATTATTCTGATAATGAAAAGAGAGAAGCCTCAGACCTTCTTGGTGTTCAGGTCCTTCTCATGCTCATCCAGATCTGACTCTTTCCCTGGAGCCGAGCTCTGTGCAGGATCACAGACGCCATCTTGGATCCTAGGCAGGGAACATCATAAATTACAATTGTTGGGAAAATACTGAATCTACTCTTTCAAGGAGGTGCAAATGATAACAAAGGCATTGAATTTGAATACTTTGAATACTGCTTTATATTATGACTAAATAAACAACCTTGAACCTTGAACTATATTCCTCCATCTTGTGACTGTGTAACTCCCTCTCTTGGATATCAGCATGTGAAGGACACTTTTCAGGAACTAGTTGATGCTCTGTATGTGATGACTACTTCCATTCTTGAGAGGATAATAAATACATGAATCCTGTTTTGAAACTCAAGCCGGTGACCAGTGAGATTTTTCTTTTTCATCAGTTCACGATCAGGAATATAAATGAAACATTCACACAGAGAAGAGTTTTGATAGTAATAAAACTCAGGCAAGTAGAATAATATACAAAGGCAAAACACATGAGGGAATTACCTGTCCTCCAATCTGCCACTGCCTTGCCACAGTGAGTTACCAACCAATCTGCTGTTTGGAAAAGTCTCCTCCATAAACTCTACGGTGGATTTACCCCCCCACGTGTCCAGGAGGGGCGCCAGAGAGCTATCCTGCAAAACCTGGAAACAAAGAAGTGAGAGTTATAATAAAGTGTCCAGCAGATAAATGCTGTAAAACCAATCCATAGGCGCAGTGTATCTGTACATTATCTCAAATAAAATGTTTAAATACTAATGCTAAACCGGAAGAACTAAGACATCAGCTCTTAAACCATGGATGTATAAAGGATTCAAATGGAAGTTTGAAAATGAGTGAATTTTACTACACAGAAGGAGTCAGAGGACACAAGATGACAAACGTTGGAGTCATCATTTTGGACAAAACAAATAAAGCTTGAGCCAGAGTCAGAAATAGATGTACAAAAACAAAGGTATTATCAGAAGTAAGCATGAGTGAAATCAGCTGTATAGAAGGTACAGCATCCTTTATCCAAACAAAGTGCTGACTGGAGGAACTCACCAGCTGCCGGGCCAGCGCCTCCACTCGCAGCTCGTCCCAGGTCTTCTCCCTCCTGGGCAGGTGCTGGTACTCCAGACTGAGGCTGTCCAAGGGTTGGGTGGATGTGGTGAAGGTTGAGGGCTGTGGCGTCAGGGTAGGAAGGAGGATGGGTTCAGACAGAGGAATTGAGGAGGAAGAAGGTGACAATGGAGGGGAGGGCAGGGAGTTGTTTAAGAACTCCATGCTTGGACTGAATAAAGGGACGAGAACAGAGAACAAGTTGATCAATTCAGTCAGTAAAAAAATCATCTAAAAGGTCCATAATCATTATATTTAGATTGAGGTTTAAAATCATTCTTCAACAAACCTCCCAACAGTCTGGTGTCCAGCTTCCTCCTCCAACTCCAGGGGAGGAGGAGGAGGAGGGAAGTCCTCCAGGAGGCTTGTCTCTTTGATATGTGGTGATGGAGGGTCAGGATTTTGAAGGAAAACCTCATCAAAGTCAGCCAGCGGTCGGCCTGGCGTAGACTCTACCGGCTGCGGCTGGTCGCTGAAGAGGCTGGACTCAGAGATCCGAAGGGAGGACAGGTGCCGGGGGATGGACGGATGGTAGGATGGGGGCGGAGATGATGGAGTGGTTCCGCTGTCCTTCCTGTTTGGTGAAGATGCCAGCTGGATATGGGGCAGGTGTGTTGGCATCACCGGTGAAACTTGTTTGCTGTTTTCTGCAGAACACCCTGCTATCATGTCCAAACTGGACGCTCTCTCTCTACACATGTCTCCCGCAGTGTCTTCTAATCCTCTGGAGTTACTGAAACTGCGTCTGTTCTGTCCGTCCGTCACCAGGGTCGTATTGCTGAGTGTTCCGGGGAAGGTGATGGCGTCCAGGTTGGCCTGGCTCAGCCGCTCACTTGCATGCCACTCAGCGCTGCCACTGTCCAGAGCTCCAGGGGGGGAGAGGGGGGAGGGCAGGCCCACAGAGGCCGCCAAGGTGGAGGTGCTGCTGGCTCTCTGCCGCTCGCTGAGCCTCTGTCGCTCCCTACAAGTGACAGGAGTGTGGGAGGAGCCTGGGTCTTGAATCAGAACACAAGGAAGAGTCAGAGAGGAGTCACAGTGCTCTCACATATGTCCATGTGCTCAAGATTCCAGATTCAAAGAAATCACATCCGGTCTTGCCTTAAAGTTATATATTTTTGGGGGTCAATTCGAAGCGAGATTAAGAAAGTGTTTGGTATAGATTCATCTCAAAATAGGAACTGGTCCCCATATAATAGCACTATACATGAGGGAGGAATGGTTCAGTGTTATAACTATGGGAATAAATCTAACGGAATTAGTTTTCACACATGAGTACACGAGTTACTGTTCTTTTTCTCATTTCTTTCTATCCCGGTCTGGTCTGGTCTGGTCTGGTCTGGTCTAGTCTGTTGTGTGGGTTTTATTATGTGTTGTTGTTTTGTCCTAAATGTTTTAGTATCGTATCACTTTGTAACTGCTGAAATAATAACATAACTATTTATTTTAAATGACAGTTTGACCCCAAACTAGAAGAACATCAAAATGTGAGAGACATCTCTGTGTGCTCAGACATTTGTCTTCTCAGTTTAAATGCAGTTAACAGAATGTTTTGAATCACCTTGTGAAGGCCCTGCAGGCTGGACGGAGTTCAGACTGTTTCTGGAGCCTCGCAGAGAGAAGAGTCCGTCTGATAGTTGGACCACTGCAGGTCTGAAAGACAGACACATTTAGAGATAATTAAATAAATGGGGGAACATGATGAAGGTAATATGTTTAGTTTTGTTGTTGCTGTGTCACAGAATTACATTTGACTTCATTTAACAATCGAATATGGTTTAGAAAAAGACAAAACAAAAAGAACATCTAAGAGCATTGTACACAGTTCAAAACAAACCATACCAGAGAAAGATATTAGAGAAAAACTAATAAATGCTAATGATATTGTTATAATATGTCCGGGTCACATTCCTTCCTGCTTGTAAGCTTCATCTGTACAGACTCAGGCGTGTGCTTGGTTATGATTGGCTGTAATGACCGGCACAGTCTGTGGGGGGCGCTGACAGGTTGGCAAGGAATACATCTAAAGTTTTAGAAGTGTTGTGTATTAGAATTGTCACTTTCTTATTTCTTCAGCCAAGAGGTCATTCACATTCCTGAAATGATCTTTGACCTTCACATTTATAGGGGGAACATATTTGAGAGTTTCAAGTGAATTATGTCGCTGGACTTGTTTATTTTTCTTTCTCTGTGTCAGGGAGTTTTCTCTGCTTCTTTAGATTCCTCAGTTCCTCCCTTCTTCACTCCTCTCAAGAGGCTGGAGTGGACCACAGCCACACATTCTAAATAGAACTAAATACCTTTGGGTTTTCTTCGCAGTATATTTGAATATCTCTATTAAGAGAGATACATGAGGTACATGATGGCCACAATGAGGGTTACAAAAGCAAACACTTAGAAAAATGATCCTGAGAATATACATTCCTAGCTTAAACCCACTTGTTTTCATAGATGACTTCATAGAATTAGTTTTGGATCAGCAGAAATAAAGATCATGACTGCCCAACATTTACTGATCTGAGAAACATGATAAATGAGGTGACAGGGAGGGGCAGGTGAGGGATTAGAACCATCAGCTGTTTGTTCACGATCACATGACTACCTGTCCTCAGCCAGAGAGGGGCGTCCAGGTTCAGGATAACAGACCCCCAACATCCTGCCGTCACCTGCAGGGTCCTGCAACACACACACACACACACACACACACACACACACACACACACACACACACACACACACACACACACACACACACACACACACAAGGTGAGTCATTACTATTGTAAACCCCCCAGAATCAGTAATGTTTGATCTTATCCTATTGCATTTTAAAAACCATGTGCAATCTTTGTCTTGTTATCACCTTCATTTGAATACTTCAATAGCTTAAGAGCATTGTTATACTGTTATAGTCATCATGAGAGTAGTTTAGTGCAGACATAAATCAAGAAAAGCATCTGTAATGTCTCAATTCTTTCCCCTCACCTTTATGGTATAATAACAATGGGCTTTTGATAAGGTTTTTTTTATGGTTGTAATAAATATAAAAATAACTCCAACAGGTTGTGGTTGTTGGTTGGGCACTTTCTAGAGTCTGTGCTAAAACGTGAGCTCGATTGCAACAGGAGAGTTAAGCAGGAGAAAGAGGGTGACAATGAGCAGCAGAGGTCTGTGGCTTGAATTGAACAATAATTATTGCATTCAGACGGGATGTGTCTTAACCACTAGGTCCCCGGGTGCCCTGATATTCATTTGTTCCTGGAACTTTATTGTTTACCTTTGTTTAATTGTACAGTTAATAGTACCAAATTATTGTTTTTAATTATGTGTTTTTAAAACAAATATAAACCTTACGCACCTGCTGCTCTAAACAAGTTGTTGCTTCTGTGTCTCTTACGTCAAAATGTCAAAATCCCGGTAGTGGCCCCTGCGATCCCTGAGGGACCACAGACCTCACCACACACTAAACTGGAGTCTGATGCTCCTGAGTCAGAGCTGTCAGTAGCTTCGGTGCTCAAACCAAAACCACTGGTGTCAAGTAACTAAGTACATTTACTCAAGTACAATTTTGAGATACTAGAACTTTTTGAGACTTTGTACTTCTACCCCATTACAATTCAGAAGTAAATGGTGTACTTCTATTCCACTACATGTATCTAATACCTTTAGTTACTTTACAGATGTGGATGAATGATGTGAAATATAATCAAGTGTTAAATCAGACTTTAGTTC